ACCTCCAGGAAGCCTTTGGGGTACCCTCTTACTCATCCGGCCTGGGATCATGTCTCACTGGACTCACTCTCCGCCAGCACCAACCACAGGCCAGATATATTGGACACCAAAGCGAACTATGGCGGACGGGGCCTTACCAGTGAAATCCAAGGTCATGACATGGCCACAGACGGACGTCATCTTGAAGCGGGCAGTCTGCCCGCTAAAGGATCCTGTGTACTCATGGACTGAGCAGGCTCCATTCAGGCCCTTGCGTGAGGACATGTTCCCTGGGAGAAGGACACAGTTCCTTGAAAGGGAAGCCAGTGGCTGCCGAGGCCTGTGCACATGGTCCAGAGCCTCACTGACCCCCCTCCAGCAACAGTGTCCCAGAATCTTAGAAGCCTCGAGAGTCAGGGCAGTGGGGACCACGGGCCTTTAGTCTGGGCAGCCCAAGGACCCTCCCAGGATAACACTGCGAGGATAAACTCCTCCTCTTTGGGCAGCGTCTGCCAGGCTGCTGGCACCCGATGACAGGCCCATGGCCGCTGCAGGGACACAGGCTCCTTCACACCCACTGTCCCTGCCTATCTCAGAAGGAGCCCCATGTGGAGCCCACCGAACCCCCTCGGTGCTAAAAGCGAAGGGATGGGAGGGGAACAAAGTCCCCAAGCCTCCCCTCTGGTCCTGTGGGGGTGGCCTCAGGCTCCTGACCTAACACAGAACGTGGGAAGCTGGGGAGAGGAGGAAACAGGACAGGGAGGGAAGAGCTCAGGGCTTGGGCTGAGGAGGAGGGATAGACTAGGGAGTGGGTCTACGTGGGAGGAGCACCCCCCCAGCCCAAGAACAGGTGGGGGAGGGGTCCCACGTGGGGGAGCGCCCCCAGTGCCCCGAGAACGGCCGATGCTGAGGGTCAAGGAGGGGAAGGAGCCGCCAGCCCCCTCCAGGCGAGGTGCCCAGACCCCGCCCCGCCCCCCCTCACCTCTGGACAGGATCTTGGCGATGGACTGAGCCAGGGACGGCTTCTCGGCCACCATCAGCACCGTTTTCATCCTCCCGGGGCCGGATGCGGTTGGACAGGCCGAACAGGAAGGACAGGATGCTCTGGCTCCAACCCTGCGAGGAAGGTGGCCTTAGGCTCCCGGCTCCATCGAGACCCCAGCACGAGACCCCAGCCCGGCCCGGCAGGGGGTCAGGAGACCCCCCCCAACATCCATCGAGGCGGCTACCGAGAGCCCCCCCGAGCTCGGCCCCGGGCAGGACCTGCCCTGTCCAGACCAGACCTCAGTTTCCCCTTTTGGCAAGCGAGGGGCCTAGCCTCCAGGCCCCCCCACCCTGGGGTGTGCGCCGGCTGGCCCCCCCTATTGGAGTGAAAGCTTCTCCAGGGCGGGCAGGGGCTGCTGCTCTGACCTAGCCCAGCCCCCCCATGCACACACAGTGGGCACGTGGTCAGTGCAAGAGATGCGGGCCGTGTCACAGCCCAGCCGCCTCCAGAGGGAGGGGGGACGCTGCCCATCCCCCTTCTCCCTGGGCCCCGCCCCCTGGCCCCGCCCCGCCTTCGTCCTCACCGCTCCGCTTCCACTCCAGTCCGGCTTCGGGCTCCAGATGCAGCTCAGGGGGCGGCCATCGCCTCAGACGGGTACTTCCGGCTCACCAAGAGCACTTCCGGAACGGCTTACCGGTGTCCCCATTGAGGCGGTCCTAGGTGCCTCGCTACTGCGCATGCTCACGGGGGCCGGGTCCCGGTGCACTCCAGCCTCGCTATGGGCGGAAGGAGGGGGAGACGGAAGCGCATGCGCAGCAGAGCTGCCCGACCTCAGGCTTGGAGCTGCGTGTGTGTGCAATGTCAGATCGGTTTGGGAGAGAGAGCGTTATTGTCCCCATTTTACAAGTGGTGACAGTCTTGGTCCTTTATGAAGTGTCAAGTCGGATTTCAATCAATCCGCTTATCACGGGCTTTATTAAGCAACGACTGCGTACCATGCACTATAGGAAGACCAAAAAAGCAGACCCTACCCTCGAGGTCACATTCTAAGGGAGAGATAAAACCCCCTCCCAGCCCAGGCTGCCCCCAGTGTGACCCCCCATCTCACACATTACTGCTCTCCCTTCTGGTGGCTCGGGACTGCCACATCTCCCAACACACAGCGTGCCTTCACCCCCTCCCCGAGCCCAGCCACCGCCCTCCAGGACCCCCACTGACTATCAGTGACCCCATTTCTGCTGCCTTCTTGACTGTACACTCTGGCCTCCGTTCCTCTGCCCCTTCCAAACCTACTAACACTGTCTCTCTCTCTGTCTAGGTTGCTGTCTCCCTTTATCTCTGTCTAGTCTCTGTCTCTCTGTCTAGGTCTGTCTCTATCTCTCTGTCTGTCTAGGTCTCTGTCTCTTTGTCTAAGTCTGGGTCTATCTGTCTCTCTGTGTTTCTGTCTCTGGCTAGGTCTCTATCTCTCTGTCTACTCTATGTCTGTCTAGTCTCTGTCTCTGTCTAGTCTCTGTCTCTCTGCCTATGTCTCTGTCTAGTCTCTGTCTAGTCTCTGTCTATCTAGGTGTCTGTCTAGTCTCTGTCTCTCTGTCTAGGTCTCTGTCTAGTTTCTGTCTCTGTCTACATCTCTGTCTAGTCTCTGTCTATGTCTCTGTCTAGTCTCTGTCTATGTCTCTGTCTAGTCTCTGTCTCTCTGTCTATGTCTCTGTCTAGTCTCTGTCTCTCTGTCCAGGTCTCTGTCTAGTCTCTGTCTCTCTATCTAGGTCTTTGTCTCAGTGGCCACTCAGCAGCAGCATGGAAGCTTTAATCCATCCCTTTTTACTGTACTGGGCTTGTTTACCCCTCTGGAGGCAGCCTGGTCCTCCACTCCTGGGGCTCACCATATTGGTGTCAGACTTGATGTGGACACCTGATTGCTTTAAACCCACTGAAGCTCAAAAACTCCTAAGGGAGAGTGCCCCACCAGGACTACAGGCATGGGTTACCCCTCCTGGAACCAATGAGCTCTTAATATTTCCACCATCCAACAATGATCAACTGTGAAAGACTTAGCTACTCTGACCAATACAATGATCCTACAGAGTCTCATCACCTCCCACCTAGACTATTGTCATAGCCTACAGGTAGGCCTCTACCTGTAGTCTGCCTGCCTCTGGCCTCTCCCTACTCCAGCCCATCTTCTATTCCTGTCAAAGTGATTGTCCTGAAGAGCAGGTCTGACCATGTCATCCCCTTAATTCACTCCCTATGGCCTTCAGGATCAGATACAAAATGCTCTGGTTGGCCTTCAAAGCCCTTCCTAACCTTGTCCTACCTTTCCTGTCTTCTTACACCTTTACTCACTGCCCTACATATTCTGTAATCCAGGGACACCACCCTCCATTCCTTGAACAAGACATTCTGTCTCCAGACTCCATACCTCTTTCACCCCATGCCAGGACTTATCTACTGCCTCACCTCTGCCTCCTGGCTTCCCCATCCCCTGAAGCAAATGCCTTCTTTCCTTGTATTACCTACAATTCCTCCTGTCTGCTGCTTGTTTGTACAGAGTTGTTTGCATATTGTCTCCCCCATTAAACTGTGAGCTCCTTGAGGACAGGGACTGTTTTTCCTGTTCTTTTGTGGACCCCTCCCCAAACCATTTTGAATCCCCATCACCTGAGAAAGGCCTAAAACCTGGACTGGCCAATCAGGAGAGACATTTGAGAGCACTCTGGGCTTAACCTACCATAATGCCTTGCGTGCTCTGGCATAACAGGTGTGCTTTGCTTTACTTCCTGAATGAAACCAAAATGCCCCTTCCTGTGTCAGCAACTACAAGTCTGGATGAAACTGATCAGGAGAGTTCTTTTGTTTATGACTGCCAAGGACAAGGTGCCTTGACCTTGAACGTTATCTTGAATAATGGGACTTTTATGTTTTCTTATGTCATGTTAATGATAAAAGAAACACAGACATCCTGGATCTAAAATTTCAATCGACACCTTGATATTCTCTTATCTTATTGTATTTACAACCTCACCCTATTAAGAAATTCCTTTCTCATATTATGGTTAACACATCAGGAGACTATAATTTTAGATGACACAGGCATCCTGAGCCAGGGAGGGAAGGTGGGAGAGAATTGCTCTGAAGATGTAAGATCCCCTTTGTTTGTCCATCCTTGGGCTCATTTTCTTTCTTTCTTTCCTTTTTTTTTTTGGTGAGGCAGGGGTTAAGTGACTTGCCAGGGTCACATAGCTGGTAAGTGTCAAGTGCCTGAGGCCAGATTTGAACTTAGGTCCTCCTGACTCAAAGGCTGGAGCTCTATCCATTGTGCCACCTAGCTGCCCCATTGGGGTCATTTTCTACAATAAACTGTCATGCATATCTCTGCATGCATGTTCCGCAAGCTTTGAGAGAAATAAACATGCACATGCAGCCTAATTTTGTTTGTCTTTCTTAGAACAAACACTGTAAAGGTCAACACTTTGTTTTCCCTGCACTGACACTATCTGGCACATAGTAGGTCCTTGTTCTTCTGCCCAAAGGGCTATAAAACTGTGCTTTTGACCCAGCGATACCACTACTAAGTCTGTTTCCTAAAGAGATCATAAAAATTGGAAAAGGACCCACACATACAAAAATATCCATAGCAGCTCTTTTTGTGGTGGCAAAGAACTGGAAATGGAGGGGATGCCCATCAACTGGGGAATGGCTGAACAAGTTGTGGTAAATGATTGTGATAGAATAGTATTGGGCTGTAGGAAATGACAAAGGGGGATGGTTTTAGGAAAAACCTGGGACAACTTACATGAGCTGATACAAAGTGACATGAGCAGAACCAGGAGAACATTGTACACAGTAACAGCAACATTGTAACAATGATCGACTGTGAGAAACTTAGCTACTCTGCCCAATACAATGGTCCAGCACAATTCCAAATGATCCATGGTGAAAAATGTAGCCACCTCCAGAGACAGAACTGATGAATGTAGACTGAAGCAGATTTTTTTTCTCTTTATTTTTCTTGTCATTTGTTTGTTAGGTTTGGTGGTCGTTGTTGCAACACTGCTAATATGAAAATATTTTGCATGGCTTCACATGATCATTGTTTGCCTTCTCAATAGGTAGGAGAGGGGGCAGTGAGAGGGAATTTGGAACTGAAATTTAAAATTAAAATTAAAAATATTAAAAATACATGTTTGCTCCCCTTCATGACTGGGGTCTCTCCCCAGAAGGGATTCACAGGGTTCCTTTTAGAAAGATGCTCAATGTACAATGCACAGGAATAGCAGGGCTATTTATTGACACAAGAGAAATGCACATAGAAGATTCATCAATGTGCATTAATACTTCAAATATAAAATAACCCATAATTCTTACGAGGCTTTCCCATAAGACCAATACTTCCAATGTTAGACTACAGAATGTTGCAGGCTGCTGAACAGGTCAATTTCACTTTCACCTCAGACCTACAGTGTCTGAGTAATTCGCTTGCATTCTTATCATCTGGCAAACCAGCTGATGATTCAGGCTCAGCCTCCTCAGGTGGTCATCTCCTCCAATAAATTATTTTGGAGACTACCTCCTGCTGAGCAACCAGGAGCCAGCCACCTGACCTCTCAAATTCACAAGGTTGCTGCCTAGGCTCCCAGGATCACTGTTCAGTCACCTGTGCCCTGCGGGGAAAAACGTGGAGCAGAAGAGGCAGCCAGAGCCTGGGGTTCAGCCTCCAGCTCACCTCGGCCACCACTGGGCTGGCTGTCATGGGCTGCTGCTGGTGGCAGGTAGGGATCCCCTCTGCCCTAACTGCAAGTCCAAAGGGAAGCTCTGAGTGGGGCCACACACTTGACACAACAAAAGTGAGATCAGCAGTGGCAGTTGATGCTCCTTTTAGGCATCATGAGTGGGTGGTTCTTCCTCAAAGAGGAAATGACAGATTTAGAGCTGTAAGAGACCTGTGAGGTCAGCAATGTCACCAAAGAGCTCCATGGGACAGTCAGACCTCAGCCAAACTTGCCCCTGCCCCCGTTCTCAAAGACTCTGCTCCTCCCACGTCCCACACCCCTCCAATCACCCACACATATACTTGACTGATGAGGAAACTGAGGCCCAGTAAAGTGAAGTGAGGAGCACATTTAGGGTTAGGGGAAAGCCTGAGCCCCAGAGGTGCCGAATCTGCCCTTCTGAAGCCAGGCGCCAACGAAGGGCAGCATTTTCCACTGGGAGCTTTATTCATTCTTGAGTTCAGAGTGATAAAGGGGTGTCATTGTGGGGCGCTGCTGGGAGAATCCAAACTCTTGCTCTCATGGTCACTGTTTGGATCCTCCTGAGGCCTCTGCACTGGCCGGAACTTGAGCAGCACAGGTGGGCTGAAGACAGAGGCGTTCCCCACTGTCGGAGCTGAACCCTCAGGATCGATGGTCGGACCCAAGGCTGAAGACCTGCTCAGATGAGGGCTACCATTTAGCATGGGGCCCAGGTCCAGAGGGCTGGACTGGGGTAGCAGGTGGAGTGCTTAGGCTGCCTCATGTAGTAGGAAGCATCCTATTACTGAAAGGCTTCAGCTGACCCCTAGAGAGAGCCCCCTGGGATGCAGGAAGGGAGGGCCAGAGGGAGCCTTCCACCTAAGGAGCTGAGACTCTAAATTCTAGGAAATACATGGCTCTGGGGCCTGCCCAGCATTACACACAGGCCTCGGCTGCTCTCACCAGAAGAAGCCTCTCCTTGGCTTGGCCCTACAACCTGAGATGGGCTTACCAGGGAAAACTGGGGCATTGGAGCTTGTGGGCAGGGTTTCCAGAGAGCCGAGAAGAATGAAAACCACCAGGGTTAAGCACCAAAGGAGTCAGATCAACCACTCTGTTGAAAGACCAGAGACAAAGGAACTGGAAGAAGACTCAAGGACCCCAGCTGAGTGTGAGACCCTCCCTCCTTTTTTCCTTCCCTATCCTGCCTCTGCCATTGGCTGTGGCCTTGGGCAAGGCCCTTTTCTTCACTGGGTTAGTTTCCCCATAGGTCAAACAAGGGGATTAGACTAGATGATAAAGTCTGCTTTAACTTCTGACATCCCCTGCTCTCAGGCCCCTCCCAGCCCTGACGTCCCTGCTCTCAGGGCCCTCCCAGCCCTGACATCCCCGCTCTCAGGGCCCTCCCAGCCCTGACGTCCCCTGCTCTGAGGCCCCTCCCAGCTCTGAGGCCTAGAAGTTCCTCAGAAGCAGTGCTTGGTCCTGTGTTGTCCCCCACTGGCCCTTGGCCATTTCCAGGGTGCAGGGCTCCCGCCTGCCTCTACCTCTTCGGGGCTGCTGACAGTCCTGTCCAGTTTAGTTTCATGACCTTCACTTCAGAGTCTGGACCAGCCAATGTCTCTGTCTGTTGGAAACAAAGAGATTTCCTGCCCTTTATGGTCCTTCTAGCCCTATTTATTGACTGACTGTATTGTTCCACATAAGAGCTTTGCCTAATTAGTTCCATTGAGCAAGAAAGGAATCAAGGAGAGATGAAAGGGAGGTGAAGCAAAGCTCATGCAGAAAGGGGTGGCTTAAGGCATGCCCCGCTGAACCAGCTGGACACAGAGCCTCAGGCCACTGACTTGCTTCTCCTCTGGCTCTCCGCTTTAGTTTCATCTGAGAAAGTGGAGTGATGGCTCCATGGTCTCTCATGTCCCTTATGACTCTGTGGTCCTGAGCTGGGACACTCCTAAGCCAATGCTGACACCCTCTCCTGCTGGGACCAGATGCTGACCTTGCCCCAGTGCACAGCCCAGCAAGTACCCCTAAAAGGGACATGCCCCTGGGCAAGTCACTTGGATGCCCCTGGTTCTTTGGCCCTTTCCTGCGGCCAACAGTTGGGGTGAAGTAAGGGAACCAGGGGATTTCCAAGATGGAAGGAACACCGGAGGCCAACTAGGCCAACCTGCACTGGAGCAGAAATCCTGTCAAGTTCCTACTCAAGTGACTCTCCACAGGAAGAGCTCCAGTGACAGGAAACTCATTACCTTCCAAGGCAGCCCATTCCACCTTCAGAGAGCTCTAGTAATTTTTTTCTCATGGCAAACCTAAATCTGTGGCTCTACAATTTCTTTGCTCCTATTGCTGTCCCTTCAGGACCGAGATCAACAATTCTAATATTTCTTCCATGTAACAGCCTTTCAGGAGTCTCCCTTAAACTTTTTCGTCTCCAGATTAAATATCCCCAAACTTCTTACTATCCTGAATGCTTTCCTCTGGACACACTGCATTTTCTCAGAGTCCCTCTTAAAATGTGGTGCCCAGAAATGAACATCACCTTCCACGATGCAATCTGACCAAGTCAGAAGAGAGAGGGGCCATCACCACCCTCGGCCTGGACATGATACTCTACTGAGAAAGCTCAGGCTCACATTTGGGCTCTTCCGTCGGGACTAACTCACAGCATGCTTTTAAACCACTAAGACTCCCACCCACATCTTCAGTTGGCCTGGTCATATTTGTGCAGTTGATTTTTTGGACCCAAGTGCAGGACTTTTGCATTTACGCCTTATCACATGTAATCTTATTTGGCCCACTGCTCCAGACTGCCAAGATCCTTATGGATTCTGATTTTGCCCCCGGCAAAGAATAAAAGCAGAAAACAATGGAAACAAACCTGCTCATCCGAGAGAGGAGGGAAAGGACCAAAGACTCTGGGCATGTATGTGACTGGAATGGCCGACCGGGTAGAAATGGTCGTGGTAACTGGTGATCGGGACAAGATGCTGCCCGCCGTGGAAGGGGAATGATCTAGTCTATAGGTCCCCCTCTTCTTTTTCTTCTGCTTTGCGTCTGTGACAGACAACCACTTGAGTAAGCATTTTGTAGCCTGAAAGAGAGGCCCAGAGCTAATCTTCAGCTTCAGCCCTTGGGCCCTTATACACTTACAGGCTGGAGGGAATAACAGAGCTGGAGGGAATCTCTGAGGTCACAGAATCTCAGAGTTGGAAAGGACCTCAAGAGTTCTAAAGCCAGTCTGACTATACTTGAGAAGAAATCTTCAACCAGTGGTTTTCCGCCCTGTACCTGAAGACTTCTGGGGAAGGGGAACTCACTACCCTCCCAAGGCTAACTTTGGAATAGCTCCCACTGTGAAGGAGTTCACCCTTAAGATTTGCCTAGGTTTGCCTCTGAAACTTCTGCTGACTGCTCGTGGTTCTGCCCTCAAGAATAACCCCTCCTCCATTATTTACCTGTGTCCCCTGTACACCCAAAGGATCACAGAATCTCAGCTTGGAAGGAACCCTGGAGGCTCTAGTCGGGCTCAGCCTCTGCTCTGAAGACTTCAATTGCATAGAAATCCACATCGATCTAGGAAGAGCTTAATCCTTTGGGGGCAGCCCTGAAAGTTTTTCCCTTTCATCTAGGCATACTCTGTTTCACTGTAGCTTCTGCCCACTGCCTCTAGTTTTTGCCACAGGGGTTAATGCCTTTCCCATCTGACAGCCCTTCAAATACCTGGAGGTGGTGGTCCTTTCGTCTTTGTGAATAATTTCTAATGCAGGGTAGGGGGCGAGACATTTGTCGCCTTTCGGCACACAGTGCTCATCTAAATGATGTTTGGACAGGTCTTCCATTGCATAGACTTGGGTTCAAATCCTGACCCTACCATTTAACCTCTCTCAAGAGTCTCAGCTTGCTTACCTGGGATTCATAGGAAGAGCTTGTGCAAGGATTTTGAAGAAAACATTTTGTAAATCTTGCAAAGTGGCAGCAAAGTGAATTAGGATTACCAGACGCGGAGGAAGTCTCAATTTCTATAACCCTGGGAACACAGGCTAATGATTGAATCAAATGGACTGATTTTTCCAGGATTTTAACGACTTGGGACCCTGGCTTTTCATCCCACCCATCAACTTGCAGGGCAGCCCTCCTCCATCAGTGTCCACCTGGTAAGGAGCATCTCCCAAAAAGCTAGCTTGCATCCAACCAGCTTTCTTATCCTGGGTCAGTGGTCATCTCTGGGGCAATCTTGCATGTTCTGACCCTACTCTCAGGAAGATCTATCTCTTCACTGCAGATCAGCAGATATGACAATCCGCCCTGGGGCAACAATCCTAGTCACTGTTCAAGGTGCTGTCTCTCAAAAAGCCTTCCTTGTAATTGTGTGGGGAGTTTCTGCTCCAGACAGGGCTCAACCAATTCAGCAGCATTTATTAAGCATTACGACATCCCAGGAATAGTGCTAAGTGCTGGGAATACTGCTCAATAAATTCCAGGGGCTCCAAATCACCTCCAGGATTAAATATAAAATCCTGCTTGCCATTCAAAGCTCTTCATAACCTGCCCCGCTGTGCCTTTCTAGTCTTCTCATACTTCATATCCTACAGCACAGTCTGTACCCATTGACACGCCTCCTGGCTGTTCCATGAACAAGACACTCCATCTCCTGACTCCATGAATTTTCACAGGTTATCCACCCTTCCTGGAATGTAATCCCTCCTCATCTCTGCCTCCTGGCTTCCTTTTAGTCCCAGCTAAAATCCCACCTTCTATGGGAAGCTTATTTCAGTGTCCCTTAATTATATGGCCTTGCCTCTGCTTAATATTTTTTAATTCATCTCGAATACAGTTTCTGTGTACATGGTTTTCATGTTGTCTCTCACATCAGACTGTGAACTCCTTCAAAGTAGGGACTGTCTTTTACTTTTTTTTATATCTCCCTTACTAAGAGCAAGGCCTGGTACATAGTAGGCACTTAATAAATGTTTATTGGCTGATAGAAAAAAAAGTTCTTGCCCTCAAGAAGCTCTCATTCTAATGATGGAGATAGGTACATTAATAGGTACATAAAAGATTCATACAAAGTGAATGGAAGGTAACCCTAGAAGTCACTAGCAGCTGTTGAGGGCGGGACAGACAGATTAAGAAAAAAACCTCCTTCCAAAAATGGCTTTTGAGCTAATCTTCAAGTAAACGGGGATTCTAAGAAGCCAAGATGAGAAGAGAGAGCACCCCGGCCAAGGAGATGGACTGCCAGGACAAAAGCACAGAGACAGGACAGAGAGCATCCTCAGTAAGGAACAGGGATGGCTGGAGCAGAGCAGGTGAATGAGCTGTGGAAGAAGACTGGAAGGCTCAAGCTGGTGTTTCCCAGACTTGGGGGTGCTCCACAACTGATTTTTATGGGTTTGCTAAACTTCTCCTACCAACCATCCAGACCTCTTAAAACCCAGGCTTAAAATCACCTCCTTTCATCCTGCTCTCCCAAGCCCTGGCTCCTGCCTTCTCCTAGACTAGTGCCCCAGGCCCTCTATGGAGCCACCTGGCTCAAACTACCCGATGGGAAGAAGTGTCCAAGGTAGAAAGTGTAGACACTCGGCAGCCTGCAGTACAGTTTGGGAAGCACTGGCCGAGACAAGGACACAGAGTAGGAAAGGAATACATCACGGTGAGAGAACTCCACATGTCTTCCCCCCATTTACATGGGGTGCTTTCTTCACAGATGCTCCCTAAGGCAGGGGGCGGATTACCACCTCAGATTTCCAAAGTAACAATCTGACCTGTGGAGGGTGAAATCACCTGTCCAAGGGCACTTATACTTCAGGGGGGCTGGGGGAGCTTCAGTGTGGACTCTTTTCCCAGGGATGTAGATCTTAGCCCATCCAGATATGCCCATCCTGCAGCAGCTAGGGGGAGGCAGTACACAGAGCCCTGGACCTTTGTGGAGTCCAGATGGTCCAAGTTCAAATTTAACCTCAGACACTAACTGGGCGACCCTTGGTAAGTCACCTCTCTTCTGCCTGCCTCAGTTTCCTCAACTGTAAAACGGAGATAATAACAGCACCTGCCTTCCAGGGTTGTTGTTATAAAGCACTGAGCACAGGGCCTGAGACCCAGGAGGCGCTTAATAAATGCTTTTTCCCTTCTTGGCCACGTCTTCCCATAAGTTCTCCACTGGGGGTCTGCCCTACTTGTTAGGAGGCTTCCTTGCCTTGACCTGGGTAGTCATGCAGTCCATGAGACATCCATCACTATTCCTCCACCTTTCCATTTGACTGGCCCAACTCCTTTTGGACATCTTTTCTGATGCTTCTTGGGCACTTGGGTTCTCCACTGGTGCACATCTCTCTATCACCCTTGAGGTGGGGAGGCGGAATTCACAATCTTCCTTCTCCAGAGATTCTAGTATTCCATGAGTCACAGCCCCAGGGCATCACCAGAAGAAACTGGTGTTAGAGAGCTGGAAGATCATGGTGTCACTGAAAATACTGCAAGTGGGAAGTTTCCCAGAGGCAACTGCAGCCCAGATATTGATCTTTAAGACCAGTGTCCCTGCCCACTTTTACTCCATTTCATAGATGATTTCTTTCTTGAACTGTGCTACCGATGCTTTGCTACATCATTGTCCCTTCCCAGTGATATCCCCACCCCCATAGGGCCTTCCTTTGTGACAAAGTAGAGGTAAGGAGGGTAACTAGAACAAAAGAGAACACACACACAAAAGAGAACACACACACACAACGACCTTGTCAAACTGAGAAGGCTTTGTTCTGTCGCCAAGCCGGATTCACCATCGGCTCCCCTCTGGAGTCATGCCTGACCACAGCAGTGATCTCACTTCTAACGTTATTCAAGGCTCTCTTTTACATTACTGTAGCCACCGTGTAGCTGTTCTCCGAGATCTACGTCCTTCAAACAAGCATCCCCAGGTTCTACAACACTCTTCAGTCACCATTTTTCACAGTGTAATCATCTTCCACCATGATGCCATCCCCCAACCAATGGACACCCACTGTTTTTAAGCTCTGGCTTCCACAAGAAGTGGTACAAGTTTTTTCTTTTCTTTCTTTTTTCTTTTGAGCAATGGGGTTAAGTGACTTGCCCAGGGTTGTACAGCTAATAAGTATCTGAGACCAGATTTGAACTCAACTCCTCCTGACTCCAGGGCTGCTGCTCTATCCACTGTGCCACTTAGCTGCCCCAAGTATTTCTCTAGGTATGGAAGCTTTCCTCTGTTTTGGACCTCCTTGGAGCCAGGTAGCTAGTAGCAGTACCTCTATGTCAGAACGTATTTATGGTCTAGTAAATTTTCCAATATAGTTCTTTTTTTTTTCCTAAGCAATGGGGTTAAGTGACTTGCCCAAGGTCACACAGCTAGTGAGTGTTTTGTGTCTGAGACCAGATTTGAACTCAAGTCCTCCTGAGTCCAGGGCCAGTGCTCTATCCACTGTACCACTTAGCTGTCCCCTCCAATATAGTTCTGAATTGCTTCCACAAGGGTTGAAACAATTCACAGCTCCACCAATGGTGAATTAGCTCCATGTATAATATCCATGTTCTCTGACATTCTACAGCCTGGCAAGGAATCCTTGGAGTGACTTTTAGCCTCTAAAAAAATATTCCTTCACCTCTGTTCTAGTCTATATTAAATTCTTCTCATGATCTTTCACTAGTGGGGTCCCAAATTTATTGGAATCCCAGGATCCCAAATTTAACCTGCTCAGAAATACACTATCAAACCAATTCTTGGAAAATCAATCATACCAACCATCCAAATGTGGCTTACAGAGTACTTTCTGTTCACATTCATGGAATCACTGAGGGGTATCCAGGAGGGGTCATTTAGTCCAAGCTGTACCTCAACAGTAATCCATCCCCTTCTATAGCATCCTTAGCTTGACTAGGATCACAGCAAAGTCAACATGAATACCCACTTTTTTCTGAGTCTGGACCCAGACTTATAGTCATAGGTATCCCTATCTTAAAGAAGTTATCAATTTTTTCATCTGTAAAATGAAGGGCTGGAATAGATGCCTGCTTTCTCTCCTAGTTCTACAATTTACAATCCCGTGATCCTTCTTCAAAAACGTAGGTCATCTACTGTTGCTGGCCATCTCCATGCTCCTATTCAAAGGTGACATTATAGTGATTGCTTCCAACTCTAGGGCACAGCCAAGTCCCTTCAATGAGACTGCCCAAAGTCAGAAGTTTGGCTTAAGAATCCAGATGGGAAAAAAATAAAATTCAAATCTCTAGAGGATATCTGGAGAGCTGATATGATGACATTAAGAGAGGCTGCAGGGGCAGCTAGGTGGCGCAGTGGATAGAGCACTGGCCCCGAAGTCAGAAGGACCTGAGTTCAAATCCGACCTCAGATCCAACACTTGACACTTACTAGCTGTGTGACCTTGGGCAAGTCACTTAACCCCACTTGCCTAAAAACCAAAAAAAAAAAAGAGAGAGAGAGAGAGGCTGCATAGAATTGCAAAGATGAGAATTCTGGGAAGCCTATTTTAGAAAGGACAAATTGTAGGTGTTGCCTAGAGGAGGGCAATCACAACAGTGAGAGGCCTTGAAATTACCAGTAACTGACATTGATAAACACAAAAAACAAAAAAAAAACTCTTTAAAGTTTGCAAAGCACTTAAGGTGTATTAATTAGCTCAGCTAAACCTTAGAAGGGTTCCGATGATGCCTTCTGAAGCACAGGGGAAGGACATGGGGCTATTTATCTTTGAGGCATTACAGCTCCATTTAAGAACCTGATCAGCCTTGCTCTGCTTGGCCCCAGAGGGCTAAACCAGGAGCAGTGGGGGGAAGTTACACTGGGACAGACCAATCCCATCACTCTAACGCTAACATCCTGACAACGGGGGCTGTCCGAAAGTGGGATGAGGTGGGCAGGGAGGAGGGGTCGTGGTGAGTCCCCCTCACTAGCGGTATTCAAAGAAAGCTACAGAAGTACTTGTCGGGTTCAGCGCTGGGGCAAAAGTCGGACTAGTTGGCCTCCAAGTACTTTCCAAACGTGAGAGCTCACTCCCTAGGAAATTCCTTCGCCCCTATTCCCACTGGTGGTACGGTCCCCCTGGAGTACCAGGCGTGGAAGGGGGGGCCCTGCAGCTAGGCCCACCCTGCCCCTCCCCCATGCTGAGGCCCTGGTGCCGTCACCTTGGGCATAGTTGTTTAATTTCTGCATCTTCTTCTTCAGATGATCCAGCCTCTGCTGAAGCTCCGAGGCGCCCACGTTATTGTAGTGATTGAGGTCCCCCTGGAGGGCTTGGAAGAACCTGCCCTGGGACAGCGTGGAGGAGAGGGAAGGGATGAGCTGGGAGACCAGGGAGGGGGCGGGGCCGGGGCTGATGCTGGGGCGGACCCCAGGGCCCCGACTCCCAGTCCTGGGGGGAAGGGGCCGGGGCTTATGGTGGGAGGAGGGAAAGGAGGGGCCGCCGCTCCCCCCCACTGACCCCACCGTGAGGAAGGAGATGAGGCCGTGACGCTCGCGCTCCTCCTGCTTCCACTTGCGCACCACGCGCTCCCCCAGCGCCGGGTTGCGGTCCATGCTTCGGAAGAGACGGCGCAGGGAGCGCTCAGTGTACGACACCGCCTGCCGCTCGAAAGCTTCCTCCGAGATGAGCTCGCAGAACGTGAAGGTCAAGGGGTGCTCCCAGTCAAACTCGTCCAAGACCTCCATCCCCGCCCTGCAGCGACACGCATGCGCGCCGCCGGCCAGGGACTCAGGGACGGGGCGGACCCGAGGGCCGGGGCCGGCGCCGGGGGGCGGGGCGGGACCGGGGGGCGGAGCCGCTGGCCAGAGACGGGGCGGAGGAGGAGGGCGTGGGACGGACCCGGGGGGCGGAGGCGGAGGGGGCAGGGGCGGGGCGGGGCCGAAAGTAGGGGGCGGGGGCAACAGCGAGAAGGAGCGGGGTCCCAGGGGCAGGGGCGAGAGGACGGCGGACGCCGGGGCCGGGCCCAACGGCGGGGGCAGCATGGAGAAGGGGCGGGACCGGCAGGGAGTCACGGGCCGGAGCCGAACTGAGGGCCGGGGCGAGGGCGGCGGGGACGAGGCCGAGGATGAGGCCGAGGACAGAGGGGTGGAGCGGCCGCCGCAGGGCCGGGGCTGCGCGCAGCGGGGGCGAGAAGAAGGCCAGCAGCCCCGTGGACAGCGGCAAGGGCGGCCGCAGTAGGGCGGGCGACGGGTCCCGGCGGCAGCGCGGGGACGGCGGGGGCGAGGGCAGCAGGGGCGGGGCCGCCAGGAAGGGCGAGGACAACAGGGCCGAGGGCCGGCCGAACAGGCCGGAGGAAGACAAGGCCTGCGACAGCGCCAGCGGCGAGGCCGGGGAGCCGGCGAGCCGGGGGCGGGGCAGGCCCGAAGGACTGCGAGGACGGGGACAGCGAGGAGGGGGCAAAGGTCAGCGAGGAGGAGGAGGGGCTGGCCGAGGTGGAGTCGAGGGCCGGCACCACGATCGTGGGAACCAGAGTCTGCACCGAGGAGCAGGAGGAGAGGGGGCGGCCGCAGGAGGGCGGGGCGGGCCGAGGGAAGGCGTCCAGGTCGAAGGACAGGGAGGAGGGGGACAGGGCGGCCGGGGCGAAGTTCATCGTGGAGGGGGACCGGGCGGCCGGCAGAAAAGTCACGGCCGTGGAAGACGAGTGCCGGGAGGCGAGGACGAGGGCACGAAGGCCAGTGAGGGGAGAAGGTGGCCGGGGTGAAGACTGGGGAGGGGGAGGGGAGGGGACGGGGAGAAGCTAGGGAACCCGGGAGAGGGGGAGGAGAGGGAAGGGGAGGGGAGCCCCTGCGTGGGGGAGGAGGGCGGGAAGGAGAGGAAGGGCGGGGCCACCATGAGGAGGGACGGAGGGGGCGGGGCTGTCTCCTAGCGGAGAGCTCTGGAGGGAGGGGAAGAGGCGGGGCTTCTGGAGAGCAATTCGTTCTTGGAGGGGGAGGGAGGACGGGCGGGGTGGGTGTGAGGGGGAGAGAGCTCAAGGGAGAACGGGCAAGGGGCGGAGCCTCTCCCCGGGAGAGGTGGGGCTCTCATGGAGGGAGGGGAGAGCGCGAGAGAAGAAAGAACAGAGGAAGGGCGGGGCTTCTGGGGAAGGGCGGGGCCTCTGGGGGGAGGGGAGGGAAGAAGGGGGAACGGGGCGGGGCCTTTCTTATTCAAGGTTGGGAAGGGAAGGAGGAGCAGGGGGCGGGGCTCTTCCTATGGGCGCAGAGAACAGAGGAAGGGGGCGGGGCCACTTCTCCGAGTACCGCACGCACCGGCTTGGGCACCCACTGCAGCTGGGGAGGCCCGTGTTTCCACGGAGACTGTCACAGCCTGAATCTCCCACTGGTCTGGGCCCCAGAAGTGCCCCTCAGGACTCCGGCCAATCCCGTTCGGGTCTCTGCTCACGTGGTGGCGCAGGCCCAATCAGAGCGCGCGGCGGCCACGAGATAATGCCTCGGAGTCCTAGCCAAGTTCCCGCCCCTCCAAGGTGGACCTTAGGAAGAGGGGGCGGGGCTCCCCGGAAGATTTCCAATTAAGGTCGTTTCCACCCTGTGCGGGATGGATGTGGACCCAGGACCGAGCGGCTCCGTGCGCCCCGGTGGAAGCCTTCCTGGAGCTTACAGCTAGCTCTCAGGATCGAAACGGAGCGGCGAGGGGTCCAAGTTGTCACTGTCAATGAGCCAATGAGGTCCGAGGGGGCAGGGCAGCCCGGGTCACCCACATGATGAGCCGCCAAGCTGGGCCGCGCTGCGGGCCCTTTGCTTCGAGACCAGCCCCGGATCCCTCCTCCTCCTCCCCCGACGGTGCCACAATCATCCCCCCTCAATCCCTGCAGCCTACAGACAAACCCCGTCCTCACCCTCCTGAAAAAGATGCCCGCCGGCTCCCTGACCCTGCCGGTGCCTTCCCTGGCCATCCCCTTCCATCAGGCTGTGCGACCATGGTTCTCACGGGCTTAGACTGGAAGCTCCTGGAGGGCAGGCATGTCGGGTGCCTTTATTTGTATCCGCAGCGCTGGGCACAGTGCCTGGTACATAGCGGGCTCTTAGGAGATGCTTGTTAACCTGTTCACCCATTCTCCCCAGCCATCTTCCAATAAACATCTCCTCTTCTTTTCACAACCAAATCCTGCCCCTTCTCTCACGATTCTCAAGCCTTGGAAGTGGTGGTTCTGAAACTTCTCTGTCCGAAGTGACCAGTGGTCTCTTCATTGCCAAATCCGACGGCCTTTTTCTCACTCCTCATCGGTCTTGACCTTTCTGCAGCCTTAGACACTGGTGATACCCCTCTCCTCCATCCTCTTTTCTCTCTAGGTTTTTGTGACACTGCTGTCTCCTGATCCTTTTTCTACCTGTCTGTGACCCCTCCTTTCTATCCACCTTAAAGGCTCCTTGTCTGGATCTTCAGTGGAGTCATATCCACCAGCCGAGTAGTGTGAGACAGAGCTCCACCTTGGGCTCTCGTCTTAAGTGGCTACTGTGTGCCAGGCACTGGGTGAAATCATCTTTACACTGATGATGCCCAGATCTATATCTAGCCTTCTCTCTCCTGGGCTCTATTACCCAAAAACCAACTGCCTCTTAGATATTTTATTTTTGTTTTGTTTTTGGTCTAGGCAGCAGGGTTAAGTGACTTGTCCAGGGTCACACAGCTAGTAAGTGTTATGTGTCTGAGGCCATATTTGAACTCAGGTCCTCTTGAATCCAGGGCCGGTGCTCTATCCACTGTGTCACCTAGCTGCCCCCTCTTAGATGTTTTGGACTGAATACTCCGTAGACATCTCAGACTGTTCATCCAAACGAGAGCTCATCGACTTTTCCCCCACACCCATCTTTCATCAGAGCTGATACTTTCTGTCCATCACTATCTTGCCAGTTATGTAGATTCGTAACATAGTCCCTCGCAACTGCCCACTCTCCCTCATCCCATATGTCCAGTCAGTTACCGAGTCTGAACTATTTTATCTACACCTCTCACATATTCCTCTCCTTTTCAGTTACACAGGAATAGTGAACATTCACCACTATGTAGAAATTATGTAGGCAAAAACCCAGCCTTTATCATTATGCACAAGCATAGATTCAGGTGAGTAACCTGGGCATGGAGCTGAGAGGGCTTTTAGTGGAGAAGGGAGTGGTTACAGTGACCCAACCTCTGTGACCCAGCCAAAGGTTATTGACCCCAAATAAACAGTAACTATGGCATGGTCACCCCAAGAACTATCAGAGACATAGGAATCTGAAGCCTGCCTCCTGCTTGGTGATGGACCAAAGGTGCAAAATGAGGCATTCCTTTTCAGGCATGGCCAGTGTGTGATTGGTTTTGTTTGACTAAACTTATTGGTTACAAGGGAACATTTTTAGGTGGGGAGGAAGGCAGGGAAGAGTGATAGAGATGGAAAAAAAAGAAAAGAAAAGCAAGAAAAGAGTATTAACAAAATATTTTAAAACACCCAGGAAAAAGGCCGAGGGAAGTTGGTAAGGGGACACAAGTGAGGGCAGCTACCATGCTAAATTTAATATACAGTTTTAAAAGTTGTGGGCAATAGAGATTCCACGGTTTGGTTGTGGAAAAATTTTATTTCATTTTATTCCCTTTACATTTTTTGGTTAATCAGTATTATTTTATATTTATTAATCATTATAAATTATTATCACCTGACCAAAACCAGTCCCATGGGATATAAAAATTTACTTAGAGCCTTTAGCATTCCTTAGATAAGAAGGCAGAGGAGAAATCTCAACTGTCACTGACTCCTTGGAGACAAGTAAATCCTCCTCAATCATGCTATTTGAGAAACCTCTAAAGGGAGTTTGAGCTGAAACCTGACTCAGTTTCCCTATAGAATTTGTTTCCATATGGGGATATGTAAGATTATGACAACTTAACTAAGTTTGTTCAGCTTTTATGACATTGAAGGAAGTATTGGCTTATGGCTCTGTCCTCTAGCTTTTATGACCTAAGAGAAATGTAGAAGATTGCAGAAGGTAAAAGGATTATTTCTCTGTTACTCAGACGGAATTTTGCCCAGAAGAAGCCGTGTCAGAATCCCCACAATTGTTTCTGGTTTCTTTGAAGCCTGAAGCTATGCTTGTGCATAATAATAAAATCTGGGTTTTTACCTCCATAATTTCTATATACTGGTGAATATATATTTGGCAGCAGCTACCCCCCACGTGAACTCAGGAGATATTTCTCCCATTGCAGTTTCATAGACAGCCCTTTTTTCTGTCTTTTGTTATTTATAGAAATGTTCAAGTTTGTTGATATTTTTCAAGTTCGTGATAAGAAAAAGAGCACTGGGGAAGGGAAGTGAGGGGGTAGACTTGATTGGGGCCTCCCAAATTTTCTTGGTTCATGGCACCCTTAGTGTCTCAGTGATTTTTTTCACTGACCACTAGGCTAAATGAAATACCTCATGGTTCATATTGCTGTGTTTGCCTTGAAGATTTCAGTATCCCGAGGTGCCCCTGGCCACAGCTGGAGAGGCAGAGAACTCAGTGTTCTCTAAAATCCTTTCTGGCTCTGTAGCTCCTGTGCTTCTGGGAGGGCCAGGTATGGGTGTGGGAGATTGTCCAGGTAGAGCCTGAGGGACTCTGGGCCTGTTGAGGGGACATAGAATTGTCCAGTTTCATTGGCGAACAGAGGAGTGGCATGAGGTAGAAAAGCAGATGTCAGCAGGGGGAGGGCCCCGAATGCCAGACCAAACTTTACTCAGAAGCCACTGAGGACCCTAGAGGGGAAGATCAATATGACCTAAGCCACATGGAAGGAAGCCCAGTCTGGAAGATGACTGGGTGAGGTTTGGATGGAAGTGGACATGGCAGAGGCTGTGAGGAGGCTCTTCCAACAGTCCTGGCACCTGAGTGAGTGCCGTGTCAGAGAGGAGAGCATAGATTCTGATGAATGAGAAAGACTTGGTAGACAATGGCGTCATCTAGAGGCCCTTCCACTTTTGCCTTTCCCCTGTACCTTTCTTTATTTGCTCTTGGCCTTGGAAAATGCAAGGTGTCTGCTTTCAACACATGGTCCCTGGTGCCTACTTGTCTGTCACCAGGGAGCAGTACAGGCACCCTATCTGAGGGCAGAGGGTGGTCCACAGCATGCCCTGTCCCATCCAGCACAATTCCTATAGGGCGACTTGGGGATACCCCCCCAAAATGCAGAGAGGTAATTTGCCAGTATGGAACCTGTTTGTGTAAGCTGGCTTGACAGTTCGTTATCAGGCTGTTAATCTAGGTCTCAATTCCTAATTCCACTTTGGACTTCTCTCCTCACCTCAGATAAAATGTTCTGGGATTTTCTGAAGTTGTCCTGGGGATAGCAGTAGTAAATTTATGCAGACTGGAATTAAGTCCATGCCAGTGTCCAGAGAGAGGTTTCAGTTGGGGCTTCTCTCAAGCCTGCCCCTGTACCTAGAATACCCTCCTCCTCATTGCCACATGTCATGCTCCTCGGCTTCTCTCCAGGCTCAGTTCAGAAGCCTCCCACGCTGGGCAGCCTTTTCTGCCCCTCTCCTCCATTTTCCATGTGCCATGGTTGTAGGTGGATTGGTTATGGTTACTGCCCCGACACCCCCATTGACTCTGAGCTCCTTGAAGGCAGCTACACAGTCTTACAGGACGTGTCCTAGGAACCCATGAAAAGCCTGAAGCCTTGAGGAAGACACAGTCCTTTCCATCAAATGTGCCCCATTACATCTATAGAAGTTGTCCATGTTCTGCACAGTTGTTCATGTGCTAGACCACAAAGAAGACACAATAAAAAACGGGTGGAGAGATTTTTCTATTGCACATTTGTGGATGGTGAGGCAATAAAATATGAAATAAATAAAGGTGCAGTGAAGCAAATGGCCTTAGAGAAAAGGCCCAAGTAGAAACCAAAAAAAAGAGCTAAGTAATCACACAAGTGACTACAGTCAAAGGGCAGCATTGTTGGTCATGTGGTGGGACCTGGGGTTTGGAAGAGTCCAAGTCAAGGTATGGGTGAAGTCCTGGTCCTGGTAGATGCTTAAAAGAGGAGGAAAGTGTGGAAGAGAGGCCTGGAAGTGCCCAGATTCGCATGAGGTGCCTGCTTGGGAATGGGGACATGCCCTATGCCTGGGAATGAGATCCAGACCCTACAAGGGAAGGAGCCCTTTCTGCTCAGTAACATTAGACTGGTACAAGATGCATCAGACCCTCCCTTCACTTCCTCCAAAGCAACTGTGGTTTTAGATTTCAGGAAAACCACTCAATGAAAATGTCACTTACAACACAGCTATCTTCAGGGTAACAGAGAAATTTAGATTACATTAGAAATTCAGATTAAATTAAATTCAGGTTAATTTAGCATGAGATAGTGGAAAGAACTCTGGACTTGGAATCAGGACCTGGGTTTGTAACTTTGGCTGTGAGTAAATCACTTAATCTCTCTGGGTCTTGGTTTCATCATCTGCAAAAGCTGATTGATTAAAAACAGAAAAAGAGAACAAGAACAGAGCAGACCTTAATGCAATCAGAAATTTAAAAAGGTGAGGGGGGATGATGATTTAGTCAGAGAGCTGCTTATTGGAAGACTGAGAACATTGATAAACAATTACTAAGTCTCATCAAGAAAAGAAGAGAACAAATCCTAATCAGAACTAGAAAAGATAAAGAAGAGATTACCATTTGGGGGGGGGAAGGGGAGAAAAAGGAAAATTATCAGAGAATACTAGTGATAGAGTAGAGAAATAGAAAGCTGGTCATGGGTTCAAATCCTCCCAGTGATGCTTGTGTGGGTCTGAAGACCTGGGTTTGAAAATCCCATTTCTGACACCTGATGGGCATCAATGTGACCCTTTGTGCAAGTCATGAAATCTTCCCTAGCCTCAACTTCCTCTTCTCTAATATGGACCTCAGAATATCTATATGCTCCCCAAAACCACGGATTCAAAAGAAACAGGTTCACTTACAGAAGTATAAAACAGCTGTATTAACAGAAGACTAAATAGAAGCTATCAGTGATACTATCTCAGGAAAGAACGCGGAATTGGCTGGAAAAAAACTACAAATGGAAAAACTCCTGGTTCCAATGTCTTTATGAGCATTCTGTCAAACTTTTAAAGAAAAATTAATACCTACGCTACACAAACTAGGACCAAAAATTGAGAAAGAACACACTTTTCCAAAGTCTTTTCATGAGACAAGTTAAATGAAGTTAAGCATTTATTTATTAAGCA